GAAAAAATCGCTAAAATACCCCGGGGTGACGGGATCGGAGTCCCCAGGGTGAACACTCTAGTAATAACTTGACAAGTAAAATACTTACCCATTTTCTATTTTTAATTATTTTTTTTAATTTTTAATTTCAGTGCCTAAAACTTACTTTTCAATTACTATGGTTAAAATGAAATGTGTGTTACCGCATTAATCGAGTATTATGCATGCACTAATCGAATATTGGTTATAAAAAAATTAAGCGCACTAAACGAAAACGTATTAATCGAGGGATCCCTGTAAATGTATTTCCAAAATAAAAAGGACAGATGTTTGTATACATAGGTCGTCCAGGAAATGAAGTTTGATTGGTCTTACTGAGAAAGTTTGTTTGTTTGTAATTATGCAAAAAGCTACACAATGGGCTATCTTTGCTCTGCCCACCACGGGTATCGAAACCCGGTTTCTAGCGTTGTAAGTCAGCAGACATACCGCTGTGCCACTGGCGGGCTACAGAGAAAGATAAAAAACTGGATAATATAAACAACATTTATCGTTCACAACTGGCATATTCTAGCTTGTTCGCACAGTGGTTAATATAATTATGAAACAACATTATATTTATAACTGTATAAAGATACCTTGGAACTTCAACATAAACCTACAACTCTCGTAGAATATAACTGTCAATAGTTAGGAAGTTGTCTTGAGTTGTTATCGTAAATTAGTGATAACTAACTAAGTATTTAATTTAATATTATCTGAAATTAAGCATAACATTGGTCAATAGATACGTCATTTAACGATCGATCTTATCTCAAAATTTGGGACAATAAGTACAATAACGATGGCCCCTATATCCCAATCGTCAATACACCATGTTCTATAATATCGTCGCATCAGAATGTCCTTGAATATTTCTTTCAAAACATGTAACAGTTGTAAAACAAATGACATTTTCCATTCCTTGAAAAATGAAAAAAAGAAAAGAGAGAGAGAGAGAGAAAAAATACGCATGGTACAAAGAAAATTCCATGCAGTGGAATTCCTCTGATAATACAAAGCTATGCTTGTAAAAACCCGAAAAGTAGACAATCAGTCATACTCCTTTTTTTTTATCAATTATAGTCCTGATTTAAAATACATGAATAATTTTTGTTCTATATTTCGGTTACAACTTTTCCTTTTCAAAAGCAAATACATTTTTCTTATAGTTGAAGAACTTATGATTTAGCTATTTCCAAAGCCAACATTTTTATTTTATTTTACGTTTTTATGACATAAGAGTTATAGTCTGGAAAGAATCAAGAAGTCCTAAGTTTCAAATACAAATTGCTAAATTATTTCCGACTTTTCTTATCTATTCTCGATATATATACCTTTCAAAACTGGTTTTCCTGAACTTTTCACTTGTATTCCTCCTCCCCCCCCCCTCTACGATTCTAAAACACATTTTAATGTTCTTTCTTCCACTTTCTCCTTTTTCATTACCCGAAAGATTTGGAGCGGAATAGAATATCAATCGGATATGAACAAATGTGTAAATAAATTAGGTTCTCGCCAAAGTATCACTACAAGCATCACATGAAATGATATTACTACTCATGATGTCCTGAAAGTATCATTATAAATCACCTTGATGTTATTTACTTAATTCGGGTTTATTTTGCTTTAAAACTTTTCTTAACGATTTCAGAGCCAACCAACTGCTAATAAGTTTTCCTTCCTGTTGCTAACACAGTCCACTAATTTTAGCAATAAATTTATTTTATGTTTAGGTTCAGCTTAGTTAGATTCGGTTCATGGCTTGTTTGTTGGTTTGTAGTATAAGCACAAAGATACACAATGGGCTATCTGTGCTCTGCCAACCACGGGTATCAAAACCCGGTTTTTAGCGTTGTAAGTCCGCAGACATACCGCCGTGTCACAGGGGGTCAGTTCATGGCATTTGACATTCATTTCTCAAGAGGAGTAGCCCTTAAACAAATATAAAAAGGGTTAACTGTGCTTTTTAAGAATTGTTTGGATACGGTAATACAGAATTATGTCACTTCAAAAGGAAAAGGAGAGCCATGGTGCCATGGCCAACATTTCTAGCATGCACCTGTCCATTTGGTTCACGGCGAATACCCGACCACTCGATGTGCAATGCCACCAACACCACACTTATAGCTGGAAGAATATTATATAACACCTTTTCCAAGGCGGGATATTTGGGAAGCGATATCATTAAACAATGTAGAGACAAAGAACACAACATTTCGAATAACGAAACCTTCAGTACTTTGCTTCGAAAAAATCTTATACAGCAGAGCATTAAGAATAGCAACAAGATCTTAAGTTGCATCCCGAGCCAGAGCAGCAGCACCTTTATTCTGAAAGTCCTTTCAAAATAAGTAACAATTTATAGTGTATAAACCACTACAGCAATCAGTGTGTGTGTTCATATTCATGTAAAATCACTTAGGTCACTAAAGTAGGATCCCAGATTCTGCGTGTACTTCTCCCTCTTTTGTGCAGTGGTATAGTGGAAATTCTGTGGAGACTACTTCAAGACGTATGGTTCTATTAACTATAGTGGAAAGTCTGTGGAGACTACTTCAAGATTTGTGGTTCTATTAACTACAGTGGAAAGTCTGTGAACACTATACTTCAAGATGTGTTGTTCTATTAACTGTAGTGGAAAGTCTGTGGAAACTACTTCAAGACGTATGGTTCTATTAACTATAGTGGAAAGTCTGTGGAGACTACTTCAAGATTTGTGGTTCTGTTAACTACTGTGGAAAGTCTGTGGAGACTACTTCAAGATTTGTGGTTCTATTAACTATAGTGGAAATTCTGTGGAGACTACTTCAAAATGTATGGTTCTATTAACTATAGTGGAAAGTCTGTGGAGACTACTTCAAAATGTATGGTTCTATTAACTATAGTGGAAATTCTGTGGAGACTACTTCAAAATGTATGGTTCTATTAACTATAGTGGAAAGTCTGTGGAGACTACTTCAAAATGTATGGTTCTATTAACTATAGTGGAAATTAGGTGGAGACTAATTCAAGATGTATGGTTCTATTACCTATAGTGGAAAGTCTGTGAACACTATACTTCAAGATTTGTGGTTCTATTAACTATAGTGGAAATTCCGTGGAGACTACTTCAAGATTTGTGATTCTATTAACTATAGTGGAAATTCTGTGGAGACTACTTCAAGATGTATGGTTCTATTAACTGTAGTGGGAAGTCTGTGGAGACTACTTCAAGATTTGTGGTTCTATTAACTATAGTAGAAAGTCTGTGAACACTATACTTCAAGATGTGTGGTTCTATTAACTATAGTGGAAAGTCTGTGGACATTACTTAGAGACGTATGGTTCTATTAACTATAGTGGAATGTCTGTGGGCATTACTTAGAGACGTATGGTTCTATTAACTATGAAAGTCTGTGGAGACTAGTTCAAGATATGTGGTTCTATTAAGTATAGTGGAAAGTCTCTGAAGACTACTTCAAGATGTGTGGTTGTATTAACTACAGTGGAAAGTCTGTGAACACTATACTTCAAGATGTGTGGTTCTATTAACTATAGTGGAAAGTCTTGGAGACTAGTTCAAGATGTGTAGTTCTATTAAGTATAGTGGAAAGACTCTGGAGAGTACTTCAAGATGTGTAGTTCTGTTGACTTTGTCCTCCTTTCCGAAAGTGTATTACCATGTAAACTGTGATTTTAGCCGATTGTGATCGATGGAGGACTAATAGTTCCATAAGCCTCTTATTAAATACAATAAGTCATCAATAATAAAACACAGCTTTTCTTCAGATATCTTTACAACTTTAACTTTACAACAGTGGATGTGTATAAGCCACTATAGTTGTGTGTTCATATTCATGTAAAATCACTTAGGTCACTAAAGTAGGATCTCAGATTCTGCGTGTACTTTTGTTGCTTGGACACTGATTGCAAGTTGTGATAACTGTTAAAAGATTCCGATCAAAGTGAGAAAATGTCTTTGTTCTACATTTAAGTGAACATGATGGTATGTGTAATGTATTTGCTGCCTTTGGGAGGGTTCTCATTACATTAATGTCCCAAAGCGAAAACATCATGTAAGTGGTCTAAAGAAAACTTGTGTTCAACTGTTATCAAATGTTATCACACAAAAAACTTGAATTTTTCAGTTTCAAACATATCATCTTGTGACTTATTTTTTATAAGTTTACGTTGCAACTAGAATACAAGTTTTGTTCATCTGAATTAACAAGAGAATCAAAGGTACCTTATGTAGATGCCCAAGTTCTTATCAATTGATTCATCGAACCAAAGTATCTGTGTTTGATATCTTAAAATAAGTTTTCAAAAATGAGTTTTAGTTATTATAAACTAAAAACAAAATACGCGGCTCAATTAAACTCCTTAAAACTAGTTTAATAACGTCAGTTATAGTTGACTTAATAAAGGCACATTTTTAGCCTACCCCATTCTAGTTTTATTTGCTTACCTAGTCTACAAATTCTTTTAAAATATCACCACAAGTAATGATATGCTGCTTGTACACTCTCTTTTCTTCAAATGTTTAAGTTACCATATTTCTTTTTTGTAGCTTCTTTAAGTTTATACATTATATTTTTTATTACAAAATACGTACTTTTTTCCTATGGAAATACTGACACAACTTATTCTAACTCTGTGCAGGAAAATATGCAATTATCAGTTGTAAAACGATCAATTAAATCAACCTAAGAATTCGTCTCAAGTTGACAAAATCTAAATAAAATGGGGTAGAACGTTTAATCCTACAGACACTCATTATGAAGCTTATAATACCGAAGAAAATGCTTTCATAAAAAAAAATCCTGTAATTTCATTCTCTTTATATTTACTAAAAATAAAAACTTAGTACGTGTGAATGATTAGTATTCTAAAAACATGAGAGCTATGTACGTGTATACATGCTAAGTTATATTTATTTTTTAGTTTAACTGTAAAACTTTTGCATATTATAGATCTTAAGAAAAAATCAATAGCCCTACCTTCGATGATACTCCCAGATACTGGGCTGTTGAGGGTCATAACCAGGATAATCATTATAATGACAGTCTGAACAACAAACCTGACCATGGTTAACCTTTGGTCATTCGGTTTCATATTAATATGTGCTCTATCTTCAGATTATGTTAACTTATTCATTAAGATCTGATCAAGATGCTGAAAATATTTTGGATAGTCCGTAAACATAAGTAGTAAAAGCATTAAGGAAAAGTGATTCACTCTTTTTCCAGCCGTGGAACACGTGGTTCGTTTTGTTTCGAGTACAGCCTGTAAAAAGTCAGTGCATGGCAAATCGTGTATCGCTCACGTTGTTCCTTCGTTTCTTTACTGGCCGCCGATAGTAAACGCTGTTCCATTTATCAGTTATCTTAGAGTACAACGACAGTGGCGCCCTCGCTTTCGATATAAACCGCCCCTCACTCCATACTCCCTCTACTTTCCCAGCACGGAATGTGCAAGGTAGTGGGAAAGTGGCCACTCTGCGAGCTGCGTGGTCGACCGGAGGAAAGATCGTTTTGAAAAACTAACAGTAGCGGCACCTACGTGAAGGTGTACAATCTAATATTCTCTGGACAAACAATAGCTTCAGTAGCAGGCATTGAATGTCTCGAGTCCAGCGCCGGCTGGGGTACAACCGAGACCAGAGGCTTACTCCATTACTACACTATTACTAAGCGGTAGCCGGACACTCGAGATCTTCTTGGTGTGACCGGAGATTAATTTTTGCAAGAAAAGTGTCATTTTTAACTATAATAAGCCGTATATAATAACATAAATAAAAGGATTGTATCAAAGATACAAACTAAAAACATGTAAGTATTATACATACAATCGTCACTCAATCAAATAATTTTCTAAATGGTTTGAAAGGTCATTTTGTTGAATTAAAGTTTAGAAGTGTATTTATATACGGTTGTATCCATGATATTGTAGTCAAAGGATGATAATTAAAGGTAACGTTTTATCCTTTCTTTAAATTAAAATTAACAAATGTGGGCTGCTTTTGTACTATTGTAAACATAAACCTACTCTCTATGCAAAAGGGGCCGAATATGATCCAAGATTAGCGTGTCCGGACTGTGGATCGGGTTATTCATGGTTCGCCACTAATAGCCACAAAAAACTCACTCCTTATTTTTGGGAGTGGGTGCGCTATAAGAGTAGTACTCAATTCCTGTTATTCGATGAGACAACAATAGCCCTAGACTTGACAATGGATGCCTTATAAGGTTAGGTCCCGATTAAATAAATTAACAACTTTCTGTAAAACACGTCACACTGTAAAATTCTTCCTTCTCCCAGTCTGTGGTCCAAGTCATTGAGTACGAATATCTGCACTCTAATTTAACTAATCTGTTCTTATATACAAGAAGAATGTATTACGTTGTTTATCAGTTTGCTTGAGCTATAATAAGGCTTCTCTGTCATAAGGATGAAGAACTAAAAATGCACAAAAACAAACACCGAAAAAATTAGAAAAACTTAAAAATTTTGATCAACACAGCCGACCCTGTTAGAGGTTGTTAGTTTTGCCCACAGGAGCAGTTTAAAATCAAAGATCCGCCAACTGGATGTTATCTTTAGATCAATCTTCTGCCTGCAGGACCCCGCCTGTTCTACTAGTTAATCTTTTGCAGAATCCAGCGAATACCTGACCAGTTGTATTTTCATAGTTTCTGAAGTGCCAGTTAACATGTTTGAACAAGTTCCTTCTCCACGTTAACTGGTAGAACAAACAAACTGAAACTAAGAATAGTTTCAATTATATCATGTCCTTATCTAAGACACCAGAAGTAAATTTCGAAGTTTAACATTTTTTTCTTTTACATGTCAATTTTGGTACAAGGAATCGTGGATTGTTTTCATTTAAGCATTTTGAACTTCGATATGAATATTTTTATTTTAGAGTGATTATATGTATTATAATATCGACAGGTAAATTTAGTTTTTCTCTTCAAAAACACAAAATGAAAAGCGAGGATATCAGAAAATATGTTTTGTCTATCGTAATTGAAGTAAATACATTAGTATTTCTAACGTTATAATGACGGTTTATAAAACTAGTAACATTTTAAACTTGACTCATTACTGACTATTTAAAAAAATATCATGCTAAATTTCATACACATTACCATTATCTTTAAAGCGAAATTCGTTTTAAAGAAGTAATTTACTATTCATAAACTTTGACTTTTATGTAAATATTAAGAATGTAACATTTTGAATAGCATACCCTAAAAAATTCAAATTATTTTTGTATTTATCTTTTAAAAAGTTATAATAAATAAACTAACGATTATAAAAAGTAACTTGTACATTATTAGATTTTGGTCTAAAGTATGCCTAGCGTTCTCTCGGTCATCTTATCATTTCTGTCTTTGAAATATTAAACAAAAAACATATCTTAGGGCTTTGTTGAATTTGGTTGTTGTTAAGCGCAAAAGACTATATGTGCATTGCCCACCACCACGGATATAGAAACACGAATTTTAGCGTTGTAAGCGTGCAGACTTACCGTTGAGCCAGTGGAGGCCATTTTAGGGTTTGAAGTACTTAAAGACAACCGACAAACTCATGATTCTTCAAGTTAATAAAATTTTTTAATAACTATTGTTTAGGCTTTTCATTATAAAAACTTCTGCAGAAATATTCTATTCTACCTTCCAATCTATTTCCGCCCAGTGGTGCAGCGAGAAGTCTGCTTATGACGCTAAAAATCAGGTATCGATACCCGTGATTGGTAGAACACAGATAGCTCATTATCCAGTTTTGCGCTTAACAACAACCAGACTGAACTGATTAATTATAGCGTCATTTTTAACAGCCACAGTTTTCACAGCATGATTTAAGGTTGAAATGTTATTTTCTGGCCCATAAGAAATAAATAAAAATATATTTTTAAAAAGGACAGTTGACGCTGAACTGTGGTCGTCTTGTTTGTACTTTGTTAAATCATAAAATAAGAAGCCGACGTACAGGGAAGCATTAGTCAATGTTAACTTGTCTTCTTTTGTTTCTTTATAAATGTGTTATCTGTGGTCTTCTCACTACGGTTATCGAAATCCGGTTTTTAGTGTTATGAGCAGCCAGATTTACCTCTGACCCACTAGGGGGCGTTGACTTGTCAATCCTTTAAGGCTTCGGAGAGGTTACGAGATTTTCCTACCGATACTCTTCTAATCAGATTTCTGACTTCCGTGAGCTTATGGTATTTCTTCCCGAGGTGTGGAGGCGACTTTCTTATTCTAACCTCTTTAAATACAAATATGCAGTAGTCTGTTGGTCAACTGCTTAACGACTTCACCACCATCGGAATAACCTGCTGCTAACTATAGCTATGCTAAGAACCAAGGCGTCGCTTGATGGAAACATAGCCGGAAAGAAATTAATTATTGTTCCTGGTTTGACATTGTATAACATCAAACACGTCTTCAAATGTTAAAAGTTTCGAATTATGTACATAAAGTGTTTTAAAACAAAATATTTCTTTTCATAGAGTTATGGTATCAGATTCTTGTTAACTACTTTACAAACTTGAAGGATCGAGTGGATCAGCGAAACTTAAACCGACAGAGGTGAATACAAGAAACAAATGTTCAATTCATAATAAAACAAAAATATTGATTTATTTAACTAATCAAGTGTTAGAGTCAACTCGTGCTACATTAAAAATAACGAAAATATTCCTCGAATCACTTTTATTTTCAGCCCTGATCAACAGTTTACTACGCTACACACGTGTAGCTCACAGTACACACGTGTAGAATTTGTCCCTAACTTTTACTTTTTTTTAGAGATTAATTAGTTCCACAACAGTATTTTATTCAGAAAACATGGTTTCGTTTGCTGTTGCTTTTTTTAAAAATAATCTTTTTACTTATGAAAATATTACCTCTAATGCTTTATGTTGGGATAATTCATTAATTCTTAAACGAAATCTGTAGCAGTTATTCGGTAATTTAATTTGTGTTGTGTTTTATGCGTATTTAAAACTGAAATTTAAGGTAGGTTAGGTTAAGTAGTCTATTTTGAAAAACTACTGCCAACAAAAACGTTGTCTTCATAACGTTAATTTGACGTCTGCTAGCGACCGAAACCTTGTTTATAGGTGGGTTATTTTAACGTATGCATGGTCAGACAGACATAATGTTTAAAAACGTTATTTGTAATATGCTTACCAGAGAAACAATGTTTAGAAAAGTTGTTTGGATATTGTTACAATGGGAACAATGTGAAGTTAAGTTATATCCTTAAACAGATTGTTTTTAATTATTACGTTTTGTTCATATTGAATGTATTCCAAGCTTATACCCGTCGTGTTTGTTGTTAGCTTATTATCTAACACATTACCGATAGATTATTTTATAATCTGTTTAATTTTAATTCCGAGGTTTGGTATAGGTATTTACTATGTGTTTATAAGGTGCATATATAGGTTATTTTAACTTCTATTTAATCTTAAGACCAAGGTTTGGTATAAGTCTTTACTGTGTGTTTATAATAGACACATATAGATTATTTAATCGTCAATTTAATCTTAAGATCAAGGTTTAGTATAAATCTTTACTGTGTTTATAATGGGTACGTGTAGGTTATTTTAATATCTATTAAATCTTAAGATCGAGGTTTAGTATACATCTTTACTGTGTTTATAATGGGTACGTGTAGGTTATTTTAGCATCTATTAAATCTTAAGATCGAGGTTTAGTATACATCTTTACTGTGTTTATAATGGGTACGTGTAGGTTATTTTAGCATCTATTAAATCTTAAGATCGAGGTTTAGTATACATCTTTACTGTGTTTATAATGGGTACGTGTAGGTTATTTTAGCATCTATTAAATCTTAAGATCGAGGTTTAGTATACATCTTTACTGTGTTTATAATGGGTACGTGTAGGTTATTTTAATATCTATTAAATATTAAAATCGAGGTTTAGTATACATCTTTACTGTGTTTATAATGGGTACGTGTAGGTTATTTTAGCATCTATTAAATCTTAAGATCGAGGTTTAGTATACATCTTTACTGTGTTTATAATGGGTACGTGTAGGTTATTTAACGTTCTTTGATTTTATTTAAACGTCTGTCCATAATCAAAGAGATTATACATAATAAAATTTAATATATCATTATCATCAAGAGATTGTTTACATAAAAATTGTTTTTCGACCAAGACATTTCGTAGAC